TGTGTGTGTGTGTGTTTCATTTAAATCCAATGGTGGGGTTTTTGTAGCACTAGCACGTCATGGCCGACCGAGTTATTTATTTATTTTTTATTTATTATTGGCCAAATTTTTATTTATTATAGAAATAATGTTATAATTTAGAAATTATTATGTTATAAATTAGAATTTATTATCTTATCGAATTTATTATTATATTATATTACAACTTAGAAATTATTATGTCATAAATTTGAATTGATTATCTCATAAATTATTTACTATTATGTTAGAACTTAGAAATTATTATGCTATAAATTTGAATTGACTATCTTGTAAAATTACTTAAAGTTCTAAAAATTATTAGGTTATAAATTATATTTTTTTTTATATATTATAAATTATTTAGTACAAAAAATAATTGTTTATTTATGTAGTAAATATAAAATATTTATAATTATTTATATAAAATATATTGTATAATTTTGTTAAACAATATTTATAAATTTTATATTGTTTTTTGTACTTTTTTTTTCTCGAAACGACAGAGGTAACTATTATAAATCTCAACGCGAACAAAGTTCGAATACAAAGCGATCAACAACTGAAAAACCTAAAAATGAGAGACACGCTGAAAGTGGTCTAGAGCCTCAACAAACAACCAAACTACACGTTCTAAGGAAAAGAGCAAACATCAAAATACTAGGAGAATATGTGGTGAAAGCTCCTACCACTGCCCAACAGCCTAGCAAAGAGCTTTACCACTCAACTAAAACCTGAAAAAACTAGCACACAAAACCAAGAAACAAAAGAAATCAAGAAGAAGCAGAGATAAAGTCCATCTAGTCAGATTGAGCCAATTGGATCAAGGTGTGGTCTGGAATGAGAGATTTCTGAAAGAGCCACAGGTTCCTTGACTTCTAAAGCCACCAGAGCGTATAAGTAGTGAGTTGAATCCTTGCCTCTGCCACTTCAGAACTGTCAAGGGAACATATCTGGTACCACCATGCTTTGAAAGAATCAGTGTAGCTGTTCAATACATCCCAATGAAGAGGACTGAGTTTCCAGAATCTTAAGGCTCTTTGACAGGTGAAGAAAATGTGTTCAACTGTCTCAACAGGCAAAGAGCCTGTGATGCATGTGATGCATTTCCATAAGAAATGCTTGAGTCACCTGTCACCTGTGATGCATATGATGCATTTCAAGATCAAGCATTTCTTATGGAAATGCTTTGCTTCTCTTTATCAGTTGAGTAGCAACAGGCAAAGAGCCTGTGATGCATTTCCATAAGAAATGCTTGATCTTGCCAACAACTTCCAGTGCCTGTAAGAGATTGAAGACTTGGACTCTGAGTTGGTGATGCACTCAGGAATATCAGAGGTAAGAACCTTCAAAGAGTTGAGATGAGCATAAGTGCATAAGACTGAGAAGCAACCAGTCTTGTGAAGTCCCCAATAAAGTCTATCATCCCTGTGGGGGTGTAAGGTGGAGATACTCAGGATGGATTTGCTATCAGATGTATCAAAGACTTGGTTCACAAGACAATCATTCCAATGAGTACCATCTTCCTGCATTAACTCTCTAACCCAAAGCAAATATCCCCTAACAATAGGAATCAGTGAAGGAGAGGCCTTGCAGTGATTAGGGACCCAATTGAAATAATCAATCCTGGTGTTCACTCCATTGATTTCAATCCTCAACCACTTTGCAAAGAAAGGCATCACAGCCATCCAACTATTCCACATCCAGAATCCACTAGGCACTTTTGAGGCATGAACAATGGAAGAGTTAGGAAAGTACATGTCCTTTAGGAGCCTGCTTACAAGGAGACTTTCTTATACTCAATAATTTTTTATTATCTAATTGAAATTGTTATGTTTAATATTATTTAAATTTTCATGTTAAAAATTATTATGTAATAATATTATTATGCTTGATTTAAGCTAGTGCAATTCAATTGCGAAATATATTAGTATTTTTTAACATCATAATATTTTGTAGTTGCAATTTGAAGATTTGGAGGGACGATATTGATTATAACTCTGTTTTTGTTATGGAGGAAGTATTTGAGATGCAGAAGCTATTAGATGGACAAAAGAAATGACAATTTAATATGGTTTTGAATTGATCATTTCTTCATACAAAAAAGGTAGAAGGATGAAGTTGTTGAGGTGTGCACGGGGTGAACGTTACAGAAGCAATTTTTGAGATTTAGTCCGAGCTGCCAGAAGTTCAAAGGCTAAAGCGTGCAATTGCCCATTTCAGATAGTAGTCCAACAAGTGGCACGATCTACATCTTGAAGGTTATCGACAGATGAGCGGACATAGGGTTTTATCTAAAGATATTGTGCGTGATATGTCTGCTGCTCAGGCAAACCAACATTCATTTTGGTTGCGATCTAGGAAAAACATTCGAAAGACAATGCTACTCGGCAATATGTATATAACTATAGAGATCAATTGCAGAGAGATAGTTTCGAAAGTATAGATGTTGCTACCCAGGTTCTGCACTTGGGTTTGAAAAGTAAATTTATAGTTTATACAGATGTTGATGAAGAGACATAGGCTTTGACACATGTCATGTCGCATCCAGAAGCAGTCAACCTATTTCGGACATATTATTAGTACATTGGTATAGATTCGCCATACAAAACCAACCGGTATGTTACTTTATAAATAACAAATTAGTATGAATCTTAATTAGTATGTTTGAATAAATTTTTTGATTCTGTGTTTCCTCTTGTTGTTGATTACCTCTCCTTTTACACATGTACAAGATGTCATTGTTAGAAATTGTTGGGATGGCGCCGTGTGACAAGAACTTTTTCATTGCATATGCAAATATGAAGGACGAGACCGAGTCCAACTATCATTGGGTTCTACAGATGCTGAGATATTTGATCGGGTCCGATGTATATCCTACATCTATTACCACTGATAGGGAGTTGGGTATAATGACTCATATTCGGATGATTTTTCCTGAATCTACCCACTTACTTTGCATGTGGTACAACAACAAGGATGTGGAAGACAGAGCCTATCGACTATTTGGAAAAGATAAGGAAATCGCTGAAAAGTTTGCGTACGACCGGTGGAAAATTTCTTTGAAGTGAAAACGGAGGATGAATACCACAATGCCGTAACTGAAATGCATGGTCGGTGGAAGAGATTTCAAAAAGTGTTAAAATATGTGCACCACACAATGTAAGTCCACAAGTAAAAGTTTGTCTGCCCAGCACCGAGCCACTATAGCTGCATAACGCGCCGCCAAACTAGGAGACATCCCCTCGCAATTCTGACAGATGTCTGATGTAATGGAGAAGAGAAGATTGACCCACTAGATAAAATAGGA